CACAAGTCTTTATGCAACCTTAAATGTCAGCCAAATAACTTGTCATCCAAGTATGCCACATGGATATGCATTTAGTGTGTTGCAGTTAAGAGTGCTGGATAATTTTCCGCTATGTATATCTTGTTTATTTGAATGGCTACATAGAGCCATGACAGGTGCTGGTCCCTACACTGTGCTGGATCTATTTTGCCTGGTGCAAATTAATCTACAATCCCAGAATTCATGTGAGTGCCTCTCTAAGTAGTATAATCCCTTGGGATTAGCAGGCTCAATCTCCCCCAGGGGAAAACAACTCTGTTAAATCAGATTAATTTGACATAGACAACCCAAGAATTTCCCGCAACTGCTGCATTTCATTTAAACCAAGCAGGTTCACTTTAAAAAAAATATAAAGTTTGTGAATATAAATTGAAGACGACCTTATTTAGACCCTTAAACAATTGTAACTTTATATTAGTTTAACCATTTTCCTGCACATGTAAGTGTGTCTACAGGGGGAGCCATCTTTACTTATCACATATGCAGGCTCTACTTCCTGCTAAGTGGTGCTGCAGAATGATTTTGCCTTACTTCTTCTATGTAAGAAAGTCTTCCAGGTCTGATTCACTGAAATCAATGTACGCTTCTTGTGACTGAGATTTCATGTTTAAATCGGAGCTGCAGGAAATAATATTTTTATTGCCAAACCTTACTTTATTTGCTCTGAAAAAAAAAAAAAATAGGAGACTCAAATTGGACCTTTTGGAACAAATGAAGCGAATTTTTACAGACTGCAGGGGATATGCTGATTACTTTGGGGCAAACTATGTGGACAAGAGCATACAGACTATGCACTTTAGCAGACTTGTTGCTGGATCTGTATCCATAACTGGTGAACGGTCTCCTTTTCATTTGACTATACATAACGATTTACATATCACTGAAAAGACCAGTCCACAAAAATATTTTAGGTAGATTCTCTTTTTGGTAGATCATGTCTGTTTTATTTACCCAGAATGTTTTCCGATTTCTCTGCAGCTCTGGTAGCAACATCTCTGCTCTACCCACCAATTCTTCTTTCTATTTATTTGTATTTTGGAGAAGGCAGCAGCATAGACTAGCACCAAGAACAGAGTATGAATGATAAAGAACCTCCTAAATACTTTAAAGTTTCTGGGTGCAATGTTCTCTAACAGAATCAGTTCGTAAATTAACTACTGAACTCTAAACATTATATTTTGAATGGTGCTCTCTACTGAGCATATATTGATATTACTAAGGGTTCATGCACACAGGTATTTGAGGTTAGAACTGCATTCATATACATACAAGTCAATATGAATGCAAAAGCAACTCAAAAAATCTCAGATGCAGCTCACTGCATGTTGTCCTCTGACATGTTTGTGTGCTGGTGCCAGTCTCTGATCCTGCGCAGTCTCCTGTCCCAGTGTATCTGTCTGAAGTGCACGCTCCCGGCTGCGTGCATTTAGCTCCACTGTGTCTCTTCTCTTCTCCCTGCTGAAGATCTCTATGCATGCGCCCGCCCCATCTGGAGCGGCCGTGCAGGATGAAGCTTCAGATCTCTAGACGAGAGCGAACAGAGGAGACAAAGGTTTTGACCTATTTGGTAACTTTTTATTAAATATTTTTGCATATATCTACTGCTTGCTATCAAAAAAAACCCCAAAAAAACAAGAGTTTCATTCTACTTTAATGTGTGTCTGTTTGAGCAGGGAATGGAGGGAGGTAGAAATCTTTTATACATGTAAAATTGCATTTCTCTTTTAAGGAAACATTTCTGTTGAAATAACAAGGTTATGAAACATTTGTCTAATCAATGTCTCAAGGAGTTCTGAATGTCCCTATAACCATGGATGTATTTCAATATCATGCTGTCTTAGACACACATGAATTATAAAGGCCTGTTCTAAAGCTTCCCCTCTTGTGCCATGTGATCATTTTTGTTAAATCCCATGCTAGGCTACACTATTGGAGACATCATCTTTTCTGGTTTGTATTCAAAACCACATTTCATTTGTGCAGACTACCAACCAAGAGGAAGGAAATGATATTCTGACGCAAATTAGCTTTCTCTGCACCCTTTTTTTTTGTAATGTAACCTCAAATTTACAGAGATGGACAGACAGGAAAAACCCAGTAAAGAAAAATGTATAATGATTTTGATATTTTATAACTTAGTGCAGCCCCATCTAAGTATCTATTCGCACCAGCGGGTTGTAACTGCTCTACAGCTCATGCACACCACCCGAAAATTGCAAGAAAAATAATTTTTATTCTGATCCATAAAGATCTGCACATTTCTACACTGAGTTATGGTACACTGTGGTTTGGTTTTGAAAAAAATCCTGCTTGCTGCATCTTTTGTGTAATTTTAGAAAAAACATGTTACATAATAGCCAATGGCATACATACTACGTATTTTAAATAGCACATGTTTAGTCAACTGGAAATGATGAAAAAAAACCTTACAAATCTATGTAAAATGCTTATTGCATTGTGTTAGGTCTATTGTCTTACATTTTCTTAATAAAACGTATCTGTTTTCCAGTGCGCTAGGGTAAACCCTGCTGTCCTAGCCATTGGCCCAAGAGTGCCATTATGGTAAATATAGCTCTGACAATCGCATGTAATTATTCCATTGTAAAGTATAAAATAATAGATATCCGATCAGATTGCATACTGTGACATTAGTCAGTGTAAATGTTGGTGAAACATTGTATACAGTGACATACTTTATCACTGTACCATAATACAGTTGTTATGCCAGTTAGTGATAGGTTGTATACAGTGATATTAGTTAGCCTTAAATACAGTAGGTTCATTTGACGATATGGCAGCCACAACGTTAGACAGAACAGCAATTTATAGAAATACATTGACATTTAGGAAATATTTATTAACAACTAAAAATTTTGGGGCCTAGTGTGGTTGAATTAAAGCCTGGTAAAGCTTTAGGACAACCACACTAGTGGCCTGATTTACTAACATATAAAACTTTTTGCAGCTGAATTGCAATATGCTGAATTGCAGTACAGTGAAGCACACCCATGTTCACCTCAAATATCCAATCATTTTCAAGGGAAGCTCAATTTCCTTTTTATAAATTTTAATGCACATAATTCAGTGTTTGAAGTGAAAAGAGGTTGTCTTACATTTTAGTAAATCTGGCCCTGTATGTGATTTGAGGTGTGCCTAGAGTTTAATATTTACCTATTAGAGCCATAGTTACAGCTACATTATAAGGCCAATAATTATTGCCATGTCACCAGTACAAAAAACTGCCATGGTACAGCAGCCAGAGCTATGGCACATTACAAGATGGAGATTGGTGTCCTGTTGCAAGACCCAGAATAATGCCAGCTATCAGAGCCAGAAGAGTCAGTTAACCCGTGTTACCAGAGACAGTGTGACTCTGTTAAGAGGGAGAGTTCAGCCTTTCACCCAGGGATAGTGCCGCTATTCATTAGAACAGCACTGTTATCACTAATGATATGATAACCTAGAAACTGGCCTTTCTAAATTTGACTAAACTTAAAAAAATATTTTCATTAATCCTTATAAATAACACAGTCATGGGCAAAAAAATTGGCACCCCTGCATTTCTGTCAGATAATGTACCACCGATAAGAAATCACCTGCACTCCATACAGCCTACAGACCTTGGGTAAGAGTTTGGTGCTTGAAGTGACAACACGGATGGCGCCGTGTCAGGTACAGTCCATAATAGAAGTCACCCAGCAGTTGATATGTGCTAGAAGTAAAGCACTTTTTATTCAATCGTCACATGCGTCAAACAGCCAAGAAGGCTGTTTGACGCATGTGACGATTGAATAAAAAAAGTGCTTTACTTCTTGCACATATCGAGTGCTGGTGACTTCTATTATGAATAATGTACCACTTCACACAGAAAATTGTTGCAATTACAAATGTTTAGGCATTCTCATGTTTATTTCTTTTGTTTGTATTAGTATTAGAACCCATTCGCACTAAGCGACATACCTTTTGCAGCGGATCCACGCAGCCAGGAAATCGCGACTTTCAGGGCGACATTCCAGCGACTGTAGCGTGACCTTCACCGTCGGGCTCCATTAAAAAATAGAAAAATCACGCAAAATCCGCCAAAAAAAGGTTCCTGCTGGAGCGACAGCGACGTGGAGCTAAGACAGATCCATTGAATAGCATTGGCCAGCGACTTCTCGCAAAAATGCGTGATAAATCGCTTAGTGGAAATGGGGCCTTAGACATGTGTGATTCGTTTCGTTCCGAATCGATATTCGGACGAAATTTCAGAAATTCGGATGTATCCGAATTACAGATATAACGAATGCAAACGAATCCGAATTTTCGTTGCAGCAAAATGACATTTGAGAAAAAAAAAATAGGATTTTTGTACTCACCGTAAAATCATTTTCTCTCTGTTCATTAAAGGAGACAGGGCAACAGATCGTAGATCCTGTAAGGTAGGGTATATTGCCACCTGCAGGAGTAGGACGCTAGGCACATAACAAAAGACAGAGACAGCCTAGGGGCGGCCCCTGCTGGTGGCCCAACACCCCATCTGCTGGCAAGTCTCCAGTTAGTAACAAGCAGTTAGGAGTACACACCCAGACAAAGAGGGCGGGGCCTGTGTCCTTCAATGAACGGAGAGAAAAGGATTTTACGGTGAGTACAAAAATCCTATTTTCTCTCCTGTTCATTGAAGGACACAGGGCAACAGATCGTAGATCCTGTAAGGTAGGGACGTCACCAAGCAGTAACCCAATGAGGGATGGGCCAAACAACAACAAACTACCCACGAACCACTCAAAGGGCCGCCTGCAAAACCTTGCGCCCCAAACCAGCAGATGCCAAAACATCCACCTTGTAAAACTTGACAAAGGTGTGAACCGAAGACCAAGTAGCGGCCTTGCAAACCTGGCAAACAGAAGCAGCATGGCGAAAAGCCCAGGATGCGCCAACAGCCCTAGTAGAATGGGCAGTGACAGGGAAAGGGGGCTTACGCCCCTTAACAGCGTACGCCTGAACAACCACAGCACAAATCAATCGTGAAACGGTAGCCGCCGTGGCCCGGCCCTTACGAGGACCCCCCGTGAGGACGAACAATGAATCAGTCTCACGGAAAGCAGTAGCTTCCAAATAAACCCGAAGAGCGCGCACCACATCCAGGCAATGCAGCGCCCTTTCCTTCCTGTGAACCGGCTTTGGGCATAAAGACGGCAAAACAATGTCCTCATTCAAATGAAAAGCCGACACGACCTTAGGCAGGAAGGGCGGCCGAGGGCGGAGAACAGCCTTGTCCCTATGAAGAACCAAAAACGGCGGGCTTCGGCTGCCAGGGACGCTTGTGAGACTGGGAGAGAGCGGCTCTCGTGAGCTTACCGCCGTTCTCGGAAGGCGAAAAAGCAGCTTGTGAGCGGAAAAGGAAGGCCCCGGCCTCCGCCGCTGCTCCTTCTTGCGCGCCTGAGGTAAGAAGGTGCTCTTACCCCCCGTCAGATCCTTAATGATCTCATCCAAAGTAGCGCCAAAACAGGCGGTCATCAGTAAAGGGGAGCTCCGTCAGAGCCTTTCTGGAAGCCTGGTCAGCCGACCAGCACTTCAGTCAGAACAAACGGCGAAGTGTGGCCGCCGTCATTGACACCCGCGACACCAGGGGCGCCACATCCAGAGCCGAATTGCAGACATACTTAAGGCCCTGCACCAGTTGTTCCGCCAAATCCACGTAGGTGGGGGAAACATTCTCCTCCGCAAGACCCCGACGAAGCATCTTCGCCCATTCAAGGTTTGCGAAACCAGGGCAGACGCCAGGACCGAGCGCATCAGTGCACCCGACACGGAAAACAAGGTGCACGAAACCGCCTTAGCCTTCCGATTGGTGGGGTCCTTAAAGGACGGTGAATCCTCCACCGGGTTAAGAGTGGCCTTGTTCAAGCGGGAGACCGTGGGCTCCACCACATTGATAAAGCTCAAAAAGGGCTGGAAAGATGCGCACATGCAAGTCGAGATCCTTTATGTCCACTGAGGTCAGAATGTACCCTTGATGTAGTGATGCATTAACAGATCTCATCAATTCCCTCTATGATTTTTGGATATGAATGTAAGCATTGAAGTACTTGAGGTTCAAAATGGGGCAAATGCCCCCTTAGAGCTTGGAACAGTGAACAGGTTCGAGTAAAACCCCTGAAATCGTTCCACAGTAGGGATTGGGGGGCAATGTCCCCTTAGTCCAAAGAGTGCACAATAGAGATCTGACAGGCACTGAGACACAAAAAGATTGGAGATGAGAAAACAAGGAGTGGCAGGAACAAAACTCATGCCTGTAACCCTGGAACACCATCTCTTGTCCCCACGCATTGTGTATGGAGATACACCTACAGTTGGGCAAAAAAGTATTTAGTCAGCCACCAATTGTGCAAGTTCTCCCACTTAAAAAGATAGAGCAGGGCTCGTCAGTGGGTTTGGCATACTTAGAATGCCAGGTCTTGAGGGTGGAAGGATAACCAAGCTTGGGAAGTCTGGATGTGGAAGTTAAGGGCATAGGAAAGTGCTTAGGCTTCTTCCGCTCGGAAAGGTGAGTACTCTTACACCCAGTAGCTTCCTTAATAATAGCATTAACTGCGATGATGCGTTAGAACGACGAAGTGCATCTACACAATGGATGACCAAAATGCAGGCTAGCTGGTGTAAATACGCCTTAAAAAAACCCCAAACTAAATCACCATAAACTTATAGCACAAGAGATAATGCAACTGATGTAAGAGAAATGACCTGGCCAGCTGGAAACATTTCTGTTCTGCTACTTGGGTATAGTTCTCTTTTGGGTCACAGGAGTACATTTACTAATTTACTCCTGTGACCCAACTCAGCATATAGCAGGCAGTAGCCCGCTATATGCAGACAGTGCAGAGCCTCGCTGCAGCCGAGAAGGATTCCCAACCATATTGGTGGGATCCACCCTGCTGCCTAATTGACAGAGAGGTGTTTAACCCCTTCGTGACTGACGACGTACAGTGTACGTCGCCAGCATCGAGGCTGTTTAAACAGACTCCCGGCGACTTTTGCCGCCGGGAGTCTGTTTAAACTTGTAGAGCCGACTGTCGGCTTTACAACAGAAGTGATCCTGGCGACTTACCTGTCGCCAGATCGCTTCTGCGTCCCGAAGAAGGGGCCCCCCCCCAGGGGTTAAAGGAAAAAACCCATCAACTTGAATAGTAAAGTAGCATGTTAGGATGCGAGATGGCCAGATGCACTGCGGAAACAGACCACTTAGTGACAAACACCTTATTAAGAAAGTATAGCGCTAACAAGCAGAAGGCGTAAAAAGAGGGTGTGATGGGAAGGTTTTGGAAGCGTTAGGGGCCCTGTAGGATCCCAAGTCCAGATACAGCACTGGTAAAAATAGGATTTTTGTACTCACCGTAAAATCCTTTTCTCTCCGTTCATTGAAGGACACAGGGCAACAGATCGTAGATCCTGAATAGTAGGGTATATCGCCACCTGCAGGAGTAGGACGCTAGGCACATAACTAAAAAGACAAGACAGCCTAGGGGCGGCCCCTGCTGGTGGCCCAACCCCTCACTTGCTGACAAGTCTCCAGTAAGTAACAAGCAGTTAGGAGTGTACACCCCATAAAAGAGGGCGGGGCCTGTGTCCTAAAAGAATGCGAGCCTGCCCGCAGGAGCAGATCGTCCAGGTACCCCACGATCGAGACCCCCCGACAACGCAACAGCGCCAGAATCGGGGCTAGCACCTTGGTGAACACACGTGGGGCCGACGCCAGCCCGAAGGGCAGCGCCACAAACTGAAAGTGGTCCTCCCCCACCGCGAAACGAAGATATCGCTGATGAGACTCGCAAATGGGTACATGAAGGTATGCATCCCGGATATCGATGGAGGCCAGCAGATCCCCCTGACGGAGCCATGCCACCACGGACCGGATGGACTCCATCCGGAACCGACGGACCCGCACGAAGGTGTTCAAGCGTTTGAGGTCCAGGATGGGCCGCACCCCCTCTTTCTTGGGCACAGTAAACAGGTTTGAATAAAACCCTTTGAATCTTTCCGAGGAGGGAACAGGCACAATCACCCCCTGGGACCGCGCGACGGAGATCCGCCAACCCCGAAGGGGATAGTTGCGTGTTGGATGGGAAGAAACGGTTGCCCGGACGAAAGGATCTAAAACATCCATCGTGTCGCCCTGGTGACACTTGCTTGAAGAAACAGCGAAAAAAACGGAGGAAAAGAAAAAAATTCCCAGAGAAAATTTTTTAGCTCCTTACTGCTGACGCTAGGCAAAAAACTGGAGACTTGTCAGCAAGTGAGGGGTTGGGCCACCAGCAGGGGCCGCCCCTAGGCTGTCTTGTCTTTTTAGTTATGTGCCTAGCGTCCTACTCCTGCAGGTGGCGATATACCCTACCATTCAGGATCTACGATCTGTTGCCCTGTGTCCTTCAATGAACGGGAGAGAAAACAGGCTGATCTTCTAGTTTTAGGGTGTGGTGCACATTAACAATAAGGTTTAAAATGGTATTTTTCAACTTATGAGTGATAGCAAAAGACTGCAATTCCGAGGTGGAAAGCTCATCAGTCAGCGACATGAGTGGTTGGGTATAAGACACAGCTTCCACAGCTGAAGGCTTTTGTGGCCACTGCGATCAGGGTCAGAGATTAGCTGGTCAGTCTGCGACAATGTCTTGCATGACTGTAGAAAAAAAAAAGCCAAACTCCTCCAGGAGGGGAACAGAATGAGCAACACCCAATGAAGCCAGAGAGGACTCCAATGAGGGGATACACTAACAGAAAGTATAACCACCACTTCCCATGTATATAGCTGACAGAGGGGATTTTTGGGGGGCTCAATAAGTTTCACTGTTATGTTACCTAAACAAAAAAATGTGATAAAATGTAAAAACAAACTGTTTACCCCATTAATTTTATCTTTAAATCAAAGCTATGGTGGCGGTAGTGGATTTATTTATTTTTTTAAACCTTGCCCTGAATAGTAAGCACGTACATATGCCTTATGTCAGCTCTGATCTCATTATGCAGAGCAACTGTACAAAGTAGATACTGGGCTGCTCTATTAGTGCCACCTACTGCCTCATGCTGAGTAATTGCTTTGAAAAATAGCTCAGATTTTGAAGTAGGCATATTTTTCCCCATACAGGTTTACCTTAGATTTACCATATTTTATTTTTGCAAGGTAGAATTTTGTTGTCAAAGTGCTTTGTTTGTTTCTTCCAAAGAGCGAGCAGAAAACTGGGTGCATAATAATAATTACAAAAAATGCTGTAGAAAGAAATGAGGCCAAATAGAAGGTACACACAAAAAGCCACATTTTGTTTCCATATACTGTAGGTAGTTGACTGTTATAAAATATCTGCCTTAAAATATAACAGTAGTAGATGCATAGCGGAAGACAGAAAACGTATTCCATACATACAAACTAGGCTTTTTTAAAGTCTAAAATCACTCCAGAAAGTAGCATATACAGTGGTACCTTGGTTCACGAACGTAATTTGTTCCATGATTCTGGTCGCAAACCGAATCAAACTGTGATCAGACTGCGATCTCGATTAGAGCAAGCCACGACCATGTGTTGGAGCATGGAAGATGGCTGTGGTTGTGTTTGTCATCCAATGCGGAGTTCGCGAATGGAAGCAAAATTTTGCCGAACTTCCTGTTCGCGAACAGAGGTACCACTGTACCAGAAAATATACTTAGCACTTTTTAGCACACACACACACACATTAATTATTCAACAAATATTCAATATAAGAAAAGAGAAATATATTGTTAATGAAAATCTTCAATACTAATAATTATGGAAAAAACTGCATTGTTTACATTAAACCCAATCCTTATTTAAACCCCAGGGGGCATGGAACACATCAAGCCATGATATGTCATGCCGATACAGGTGTACACCATTTTACCCCATTTACATTTTATTTCTGTTCCTTTTTTATGATAAACATTCTATTCAAGAATTCCTGCCTGGTGTCATATTTGTGCAATGAATACAACCATAGCCAGTAAATTAGTCTACCATTTGAAGACAACTATTCTGAATATGGAAATAGTGCCACCTACTGTATGCGAAAATGATAGAAAAGAGAAATGCAGCAAAGAAAGGGAATAGTTTTGCCATTTAAAAATAGGTTTGCAGAAGTTTCAATATAATTTCCCAGAAACCCTTGAGATAAGCCATACGTAAATAAAGCACACAGCATAACAAATGACAGATTTTAAAAATAAGATTTATTTGACCAGTGCTTATTTATGGCAAATCCATCACAGAGGAGACCAAGAAAATAGCAAAATGTATGTGAACATTTGTGTAGCTCCATATGTTTCTTCTGTATAAGTGCACCAGTTCTGTTCAATGTAAACATCTTAATACCATTTAGAATAAAGGACACAAAATTTGTAAGAATGATGGTATTTGCACACAACTGACATATCTGCAGCTTTACTCTGACAAGTTTTGACCTTGCCAGAGCAAGCCCACAGGTATTGCGGCTTGTATTTGGGAATCAATGAGGGAAAACACTAGTTCAGCAAGAAAAAACATTATTTTAAAAAGGCAAAGAATCAGTACCATACAGATGACGTTAAAATTAAAATACAAAATGCCCTTTTCACTAAATATGATTTAGTAAATATTGACAAAAATCTGCAGAATTGTACACAAGTTTAATGATAGATACATACATTTACATTTTCAAAATCTCCATACTGATACCCTATATCAGCCCAATGGTACCAATAAGAATATAATGCATAGAAAATTTTACCGCTATGTAATTACAAATGACAATAACAGTTTAATATTTGTATCTGAATGCTAGAAACAAATCTATATCAATTTATTTCATTAATACTCACTTTAGGTGTGTATAGTGCCATACATAACAATTTACCCCCTTAGCCATTTCCATTTTTGGTAGTGTTTCAAGTTGCAATTAAAATGTGTTTATTGGGACTTTATATAAAATAGTTTGCAATGATGAATTGAAAAAATTCAGTTGTCCACATGATTTATAAATATAAAACGGGACAATCTACATTGTACAAGTATTCACCTTCTTCACTGTAACTGTAAAAATAGGCTCTGGTGTATCCCACTGGTTTCAGTGAAGTCAAGCCACTCGCTAAAAGGAGTTTGTAAGACAACATATTTTAAATGAACAGCATCATGAGCACCAAGGTGGTACTAAAACAAGCCAGTTGCAAGGATCTAGAGAAGCAAAAAATCTATTTTAAACATCACCATCAGTTCATCTTTTATTAATCGTTTTATTCATTGATAATATGGCATAAAACCGTGACTATGTATACAGAAAGGCATCCACACTCCTAAGGGGTTTATCTATAAAACATTCTCAGAACGAATGTCTCTGTAAATGAGATTTGCAGCACATTATGACCAGAAGTAGCCAAGGAACATAGGAAATTTGCTGCTCATTGGAATATAGTGACCATAATGCGCTACAAATCACGTTTGCAGAGACGTTCACTCTGCATGTGCTTAATAAATAGATCCCTAAGTGACAGGGGTAGGGGAGGATTATAGAAGCTGCCAAGAGGGTGGTGGGGTGTCTGAAGGTTTTGCAGATCCAAAGCTGGGATGGGACAATAACAAAAGCTACACAGAGCAGGCTTTATCAAAGGGTTATGAGACGACAGCCAAACAAAAACAGAACCTGTGGTAATACTTGAAAAATGCTCATCTCCAATGAAAATCCATCCAACCTATAGGGAAGAGCACTTTCGATAAGGAGCCAAAATAATTCAGGATTCGTGGTAGTGAACAGCCCTCAAATATCTGCTGCTTTAAATCACAATAGTAAAATTCGAAATAAACCTAACTCCAGGTTTTAACACTACAAACCACGGGAAAGTCTAATGGGGTTTAGCACTGTAGATTATCAATGTCATTCAGCTTAAATGTTTGATGAAATCCTTGGTAGCAGATAATGTAAATTTATACCTGCGTTTGCCATCAAAATGATGGTGCATAAAAGTAAATACTGCATGTTGAGCCAATGTGCTAATAAAAATTATTCTTCCACAACCCTGACAGCACTGGTGTAGCAACAGGAGATAAATACAGTCACAAATATATTCAGGCTTAGGGACCCATAACCTTAGGGAACCTTATATTAAAGTGATCCAGAAGGAGCTTTCAGGAAGAGTGAACCAAGGTTCTCAATAATGCTGAGCAACTCGCCAGCTGTTACACGTGTGTCACTCCACAGTAACAGTAAGGAAGACCTTTAACCAGAGGTCTGTTAGTGGCTACCTCAAGAAACACACAAAGGCACTGCTTTTAGTGTTTAACACCTAAGTTGATGACTACACAAAACCGGTCCTCAAGGGTTGTTGTTTTTTTACACCGTTTACAACTGTGTAAAAACAATTATTCTAAAATTTCTGAAACAAAAGAAACTTGAGGAATAGAGATATGGAGCCCTGATCTGAGCACATATTTCTATAACTTAGTGCTTTCCACTTGTTGGTATAGTTCTACAGCAAGTACACAGCCATATGAAGGTCATCTTGGTCTGGTCCTGCAAAAAATATTGACTTGCAAATGTAAAAACCGCTTCTGGCTTGTAATTTGGTAAAACCACATATTAGGCATGGTAAGGCTGTTTATTTTCTTCCCATTTTTATTTACAAGAAAAGGATTACAAGCAATGAACATGGGCACGTTTAAAAGGAACACTGCATTGTTCAAGCTTACACAGAAAGGATGGTTAATCCGCATGACAAAAAAAAAAAGAAGCCAATTCACAAGGTAAAGATATATAAATCACAGCTGAAAAAACAGAGCTCCCCCTTTTTCATGGGCAAACACCCATGCACATACAGCCTTGAAGAGAAGAACTATATCCTTAGTGGAAGAGAAGCTTGGGCGACCAAGAACTGGGCTACCATATTAAGCAAAATGGGGAGAGGGGAAAAAAAGAGCTATTTAAAAAAAAACAACTAAAGTATGGGACACTTAACGCCAAGTCTGCAGACCAGTAATGCCATCATGCTTGCACACACTTGGGTAGCTCATCTCCAGCAGCATACATATCCCTGGCTTCAAGGAATATGTCCCAGGAGAGCTAGAGTAAGTAGAGTTAATTCTGCTCTCAATGGTATAGTGGTCCTTAAAATGAAAAAAAAGGATAGAGGCATAGAACACAAGATGGGGGTAAAAGTGCTTTCCACAGGCACCAATTACTTTTTAATTAAACTACTGTTGTATCTATGAATTATATAAAAATATTTGTATGCAAACGTAAGGATTGAATCTCCCAATTTTCAAAGGAAAATGGCAGCTTCAAACTACCAGTTTAAACAGCATACAGAAATTTAGTAAAGAAAACTAGTAAGAAAAAAAAAATCTATCATATGAAAAGACTTCAAAAAAAATAAAACAATTAAAACAAATTTATATGAATATTACCATTTAACATTACTATTATATATAGTAAACATAAATATATCTATAAACTTTCAATGATATAGTCTTTTAGTTTGACATAAAATCATATTTGATACTGGAGCATATTGCATTTTGTTTTCCTGTGTCCACTGACATTTCAGAAGTTAGATATTTCTTCCTTTTTAAACAGTTAAAACACTTTAGACACAAACGTTCAGTTTAGCTCCAGTTTACTGTTTAGGATACAATTTTGTGGAAACAAAACATTTTCTTACGAAGATGCTGCTCAGCTATGAGCACAATACAGTATCCCATAGGAAACAACGGGAAATCATTTTTTACTGTTCAGCTTGCCAATAAAAAGTGAGGTCGGATTGCTACTGGTTACTGTAGCAGTGAGTTATATGAACTCCATTTAAAAACAAGCTAATGATGTCACAACTGAGTACCTCAGAGTGCGGCCCGTTTGCTTCACACCTACACTGCTATTAGACCTTGCAGCAGAGCTAGACAAATCCCTGCTTGCAAGAATCCAATGTAAAAAAAAACCCAAAAAAAACACAAAAAAGGTGGCACCTAACATTCGTAAGTCTTCCCTAGTGTTTGCATCTGTTCTCTGGCCTGTCAAAAGTGGTGGTTATTCTTAGATCAGATTCATTGGCTCCCAAACTAAACATGTGTTTATCTCAGAAGGACTGTACAATATTTCATTAAAATTTTCTGTAGGCCAGACATTTAAAAAGCTTAAAAAGAATAGTTTTGTTAAATGGCTTTGTATTTACAAATTAAGCATTGATGAAATAATTTTTTTTTCTTTTAGATGTTCAATTTTTTTTTACCTAGTCCAAGCCTCATGAAAGATAGTGTTTTTGGGTGAGGGCTCAGAAAACATCAATTCATTGCGCACAAATGCACAGATTTGGTATCATTTATCTGGTCTGTCTTTATCCCCTTTAACATTACAAAGACACTATGAAGACATATGGAGCACTGAACAAAACGGTTTAACAGGTATTTCCAAAATGGTCTGTGGCACAGGTTACACTGCGAGAGCAGAGGATGATGTAATATACTTGTGAAAAGTGAGAGGCAGCTGGAGGGGTAGGGGAACATGCAACAACAGTTAGATTCCATATAAATAACTCTCCCCAGTAAAGAAAAAAAAATATATAGAGATGTATGTATGCAAGTCACTCAGATCCACAATCTGATAGGCACTTTTATGACAGCTGGAGGTGGAAAACAGACCCCTCCACAAACGTCTTCACAGCGGCAAAAACACCTTTGGAACAGCTTCTTTCAAGATTCCATTTCATCAGGGTCCAGTGGTGGAGGTACAAAGCAAAGTACTTCTTCATATGTTAAACCTAGATGTGGAAACAAAAGAATCACAGGTAGTTGAGGGCACTACCCAACTCTGAACACTGTTTACTATATATTACACATACAGCACACAGGAGCACCCATGTTACCCAAGGGAGTTGGCTGATCCTAATCTACCCACTCAGGTTGCCATTACTGCAAAAGTAGAAATCCAAGAGTCGTTCCTCTTTCTGGCCAGTGGAAGGAGAGGCTCCTTGATGTTCCAGACATAAGGATTGCCTTTATTATATGCCAAATGTGAGCCCTTGTGCTCGGGTATTTAAATAAGTGCAATATATGCATTGGGTTCCAATCATTTTAATAAAAGTAAAGATCTGTGCAATTAGGTGTGCCTTTGTTTTATCTGTTGCATCTACAATAAAGTCAGGCAAGAAGCTTACTTTGTCAAAGAAGTCTCCAGTCCGCATGTGAACACGATGTCATCGATGAAACTGGTTAAATGATCGGAAGCTACTATAGTTCTTGATCATCAGTGGGGAGTAGGACTTAGAGTCACCAGCTGCACAAAGCATCAGTTAGTGGCTCTCAAAAGGGAGGAGATTTCTATGCGTCCCCAGCAAAAAGCATTGTGCCAGAGTACGTTAAAATACAGACTGCAGGCCGAAAGAAGCCAACGAGTGAGATCATTATACCTATACCATCATCCCTGCTATAGGACACATGGAACAATGCTTTATTGTCAGGAGATGAGGTTATATACATAATTAACAAACATTGCAAATCTTGGTGTTGCTAACCTAATTTTTAAAATTTTTGTCTAGAACAGTTACTTATTATGTAATTTAAACTCATAACCATTATGCATAACGCTCTGTATCCTATCCATTAAGGGGAATTTATCATAGCAATTGCGAGTGTTTGTACTTGCACGGAATATTTTTGATGCACTTTGTGCCAGATTTATGTAGCTAGTGTAATGTTGTTCATAAATGTTGTTCATAAATGAGGTTTACTAGACTCCAGGAAAGAAGACTCGTAACACCAGGCAAAAGGCTTAACTGTCGCTTCTTGAAGAAGTGGTCATGGGGAATTCTTAAGTTGCGATTGTTTTGTTAGATGATGCTCCAGTTTCAGACAGCCGCAGAACAAGTGCAGATGTAAACAGTTGCAAACTTTTGTAAAACAGGTGCAAAACACGTGCAATTGGAAAAGTAGTGCAAGCTCTGGTCAAAACAGGCGCACATGTTAAAAGACAGATTTGCTCATTAACCCCTTCGTGACTGACGACGTACAGTGTACGTCGCCAGCATCGGGGCTGTTTAAACAGACTCCCGGCGACTTTTGCCGCCGGGAGTCTGTTTAAACTTGTAGAGCCGACTGTCGGCTTTACAACAGAAGCGATCCTGGCGACTTACCTGTCACCAGATCGCTAATCGGGCCTACGCATGAAAACGACGAACGCGCTACACATGTTGGGTATCGCCGCACACGCCGGAGTGAGAGCAATAATTCTAGGGCCAGTATTTTGGGGTATCTCTAAATTGATGACCTGTGGGGGCTTTTAAAGCGTCTTTTATTGACTTTTTGGGGTACTGCAGTTTTTCGCCGTTTCACGGTCGCACGCAATTTGTAAACTGGGCATGTTGGGTATCGTTTTACTCGTTGTAACCTCATCTTTTATATTTCATTAAAAAAATGGGTAATTTGTTGTGTTTTGGGGCATTTAATTAAATTTGTCACTAAATTTTGGGGTTTAATAAGGAGTTGCGCTAATATTGCGCAACATAAAAATTTTCAACTACCACCATTTTATTCTATAGGGTCTTGGCATTCAGAAAATATATAATGTTGGGGGGTTTTACGTCATTTTCAGGCCTAAAATGTGGAATATAACATGGGTGCAAAAAATGAAAAAAGGGCCTCAGTCATGAAGGGGTTAAAACAAATTATCTAAGAGGCTAAAACTGTTGCAATTGCTTTGCTAAATTCCCCCATTGTGTTCATTCTCCTGTTCATATTTTTTGTTAACTAAAAATGTAAAAATAGTATTTGTGTTTTACGAAAAGAAAAAAATACTTGTATGTGTTTGTAGTCATGTAAACAAAAAAACAAAACAAAAAGCACAACGAAGAGAACAAAGAGGTATCTGCTACATACCCTGTGAAAGAAAAAGACCTCATGATAATTTGTTTTCCAGTGAATATACTCTTATAAAATAGAATTCATGTTTCCATTTAATATATACTTCTGGAAGATCACTTCACAGAAACTACACCAACTCAATCTTAATTCTGAATTCTGTAAAATATAATGCCTATTCTGATATGCATTCAAGTGAATCTACTATTCACCTGTCACACAAGATCAGTTCTGCTGCCAGGACACTGCACGCAGTGTTTTGACAGCAGAATTCTTATACTGTATAGAATTTTGTCAGAGAAGAGACACCTGAATAAAAAACACATAGAAAAGGGACAAATCTAAAAGACCACCACATTTAGTGTGGCTGTAAAGAGCCTGCTAATATATAGCCAGATTCAATAAAGCTGTGCTCTACTGCAATGCAAACTCAAAACTAGCGGAAGAAGCTCACTCTCTTAGTTGTGGCTAAACAATTCTCAACCTTATGAACCAGAGCAATTTTTGCATTTCTGCTATGAGCCTATTGATGTGGCAATAACTTTGCCATTACTAAGATAACAAAGTAATACATATAAAAAATGTTTTTGAAAAAACAAGGCTTTCTTCTGGTGAAATTGTCTTGTAAATATGATTTTTTTTCTAATGCAATCCATAGAAAAAAACCCATCAAAACTAAACTAAACTTTTCTATTTTGATGAGGGATAGTCTTAAAAACAAAATTAACTCTGTCCTCAATCTCTTTTTCCATTTCAAAAGGGAAATATTAGGGGTCTGTTTAGACCCCTACTATTTCCCCAGAGCCCCCAAGTGTAAAAGTAAAAAATAAAAGCTATTTTTTTTACATTTTTAAAAAAAAGATTTAGAGAGAAAAAAACAACAACATTTGGTTTCGGCCTGGCAAATGTTTTCTTTTCGGTTTTGGTCTGAAAAATCCATTTTGGTGCACCTCAAGCTAAAAGGTATTTTGTACACTTACTCTTCCATTCTTCTATTTCAAGCTCCCGACTTTCAAAGCTTTGGTCATATGGCTCAGCTATAGGTTCATCATCTGGGTCATGGTACTGAGCAAAATAGGGATGAGCTAAAGCTTCTGCTGCAGTAATCCTCTTGTCCGTGTCTAAAACAAGCATCTTCTCCAAAAGGTCTACAGCTGAGGTAACAGGATTGAAAACAAATTAGTCTGCGATTACAAATAAATAAAAAACACAAATGAACGAGATGCCATTAATAGCATTTATAATTTACCAACGTTTTTCTTGTAGCAGACTGCAACTTAGCAACATGCCTGAAGTGACCATATATCACCTCACAAGAGTCACACAGGAGGGGTGCTCTAATGCAGACTTCTGCTGGCTCAGTCTTTGGATTTGTTCCCTTCCA